CATCGGCGAAAGGACGGATACGTGGGAAACGAAAATATACCCAGACCCTGGATGCCTGATTGTTGCGGTCGTGGCCGACGAGACCGGTCGCTACCGATGCTGTTTCAAATTCCACCATCGTTCGCGACCGATTCGCTTCAATATCGGTCGCGAACGGTCGGCCGCGACAGATCGGTCGCGATCGATTTAAGAGTGCCGATCAGAAGCTACCAATCGCGACCGATGAAATCTGGTATCCAATGATCTGGGGGGGGAGTCGAAGGCAACGTAGCAACGTAGCACCAGCAGGTATTCTGGTGGTCACATGGGGTGTGCGCATCTCGAGTCCATGGCAACCGGTACTGACCTGGGAACCGCTCCCCTGGGGACCCCTCCCAGGGCGCGTTTCGAGGCGACACCAGCTGCGACGATCGAGACGCGCAGCGGCAGCGGCATCCTCTCCTCCTCTGCGGCCTGGGCCCAGGCTCACAACGTCGCCTCGTCGGCGGCCGCTCAGCTCCCTCGCTGGCTCGTCAGCCGGACCCCCGACGTCAGGATTACTTCACAAGATCTACCCCCAGGAGGTCTCGAACCCATTCCCCGGGACCGTCTTTAAAACCCGAGTCGTTTTCTTTTCGCGGTCTCATGACGGCCCCCGGAAGCCAAACGCAGCAAACAAATGACCCGAGACGTACGCAGCCCAATTCCCCACGCGAGGCGAATATTTGCATGGACCTTCCATACTACAGAATACATCGCCAGATATGTACGATATGCGCTGCCATCATCTCCGCCGTGCCTCCCACGAGTCTACGGAAGTGGTGACGGTAGCGCACATCGTAGCCTCCAAAGGAGCCGCGAGGTCTCGACTGGATGCGCGTACTCCCCGACTCCGCCGTGCCTCCCAGGACCCCACGAAAGTGGGGACAGTTGCGCAGTTTGCAGTCCCCCAGGGAGCAGCGAGGTCCCGCCTGGGTGCGCGCACTCTGCTACTCCGCCGTGCCTCTCAGAAGCCAACGAAAGTGACAACAATTGCGCAGTTCGCAACTCCCCAAAGAGCAACGAGGTCTCGGCTGGGTACGTGTATTCCGCTGCTTTGCCGTGCCGCCCAGGAGCCCGCGAAAGTGGCGCCAAATTCGCAAATCGCAGCTTCCCAGGGAGCAGCGAAGCCTCGGTTGGTTCCGCGTGCTCCGCTACTCCGCCGTGCCTTCCAAGAGCCCACGAAAGTGGCGTCAGCTGCGCAGTTCGCAACCCCCAGGCAGAAGCGAGGTCTCGGCTGGGTCCGCGTACTCCACTACCCCACCATGCCAGCCCACGAAAGTGGCAGCAGTTGAACAGCTCGCAGCTTCCCAGGGCAAGGAGCAGCGCGGTATCGGTTGGTGCTGCTTCGTGCCTCCAAGGAACCAACGAAAGTGGCGCCAGTTGCGCAGGTCGCAGCCACCCAGGGAGCAGCGCAGGAGCAGCGCAGGAGGAAGCATGAGGAGGGGAGGAAAGGAGAGAACGTGGGGTCCACAGTGCTCGATTCAAAACGAGAACCCAACACAGGAGGATAGGGGAAATTAGCCTGACGAACCACCCAACCATATGTAGATGCGAGTACCGCATTGTGGGTACCGCTTTCGGTGGAGTTCCCTGGTGCGGTGGCGTCGTGCGAACCCTCCCACTGGAACATTCGGTGGGGCTCCTTATTGGGCCACGAACCGTGCGAGGGGTGTGCCGAATTGGGCGCGGTGGCGCCATGCGAACCAACGCATTGGAGCCTTCGGTGGACCCCTTATTGGGCCACTTACCGTGCGAAAGAAAGAGATAGAGAGAGAGAGGGAGAGACAGAGGGAGAGAGAGAAAGAGAGAGAGAGAGAGAGCGCTGCCCGCGAAGGAGGCGGGCGCCCCGCCAGCCCCTGCGTTGCGCCCAGCCGGAACGTGCCTCACGCGTGCTCGAAGAACTCAACATCTGCCCAGCGTTCGCGCTGGCCGCCGACGTTCCTCTTGGCGTCAACCCTAAACCAAGGCTTCCAGTCCACCAGCCAGACGGCCCAGCGCCCATCTTTCGTTGTGGCTAACACGTCTGCCAGGGACTACTTTTGCTTCCAGAAGCTCGAGAAACAATATTGGACGCCGTGCTGCTCGGCAAGGTTTGTGCTGGCATGTGTGGCACGCTGTATGTGGTCCACCTAAGCTTCGTGGCAGCGTCAGACCATGCCAGAGCAGGTTTGCTTTGCAGCCAGCGCCCATGTTCCCGCGGCGCATAACAGGGACGGCGCCCCGCATGTTTGCAACAATTTCATCCTGCGAGACAGAGGCAGCCACCCGTCGCATAAAATTCATTTCGAGGAACGAAAAGACGCCCAACCGGCGGCAACTCGATAACCAAACCACGCGCTGTGGAACCCGTCCAGCGACAGCTTCCGGCCCTGGAGCTCATCGGATTCACCGCGTTGAAGTACGCGCGCGCCCCGTCCAGAAGGTGAGTCTATCAGCCCGACAGCCCTCCCCACGTGAACATTCAGACCGTACTTCCTAGCCTCCGCACTCACGTCGGCCACAATCTCGGCGACGTCTCGTCAGCAACCAAAGAAAAGCAGCACGTCGTCTGCGACCCGTAGGTTTGCTAGCGGGTCAAAGGGGCCATCGTCGATTGGGCGCGCTCCATCTTCCCTTGAAGTTGCGGAAGATGGCTTCCCTGAAAGCGATGAACAGAAATAAACTGACGGGGTCACGGTGCTTGACGCCCCGGGACAAGTCGAAAGCGCAGCTCCTCTCTCCAGCGGAAACAGACGCACCCTGCGTCACGCACAACCTCTTCAATTTATCGGCACCGGAATCGGCTCGCCCTTCCCTGCGAGGGCAGCCCACGAGGCGTCGCGCCCGACCGCGTCAAAAGCCCTCTCGAAGTCTATCACGCCAAGCAATAGTTCTACATTGCACGCGTCGCCCGCCTCAAACACCGTGGTCATGGCAACCTGGTGGTCGACGGTAGTTTAGCCTTTTCAATATGAAGCCTGGTCTACTGACTGACCGCGAATGATGATCTCTCAGGCGGCCGCGCAGCATGCAAGTGAAGAGTCCGCACAGAATTTCTAATTTCGCTATGGGACTATAGTTTGCCGGCATGGCTGCGTCACCACTCGCGCACGCGACTGCGATCCGCGACGCTAGCCAGCCCTCAGGCATCCATCGACAGGGGCCGATACCAACGCTGAAAGCGTCAAAAATCAATTCGGAAGCAAGGGGGGGCAATCTTCAGAAACCCAGACTTCACGCCGTGGCCATCGGCTGCCTTTCCTTGCTTCATCTGTCTGACGGCATCGCCCAATTCCGCGGTAGCGAACGCTTCGACAAGGGAGGCGTCGTCTGTCTCGTAGAGGCCCGAACGGTCGCCGCCCCCGGCGCTCGCACACAGCACTTCGTGGAACTTAGCGAACAGCTCGGCGTTGTCATTGTGGATTACACCGTCTGCGCCCCTCACCTCGACGACGCGCTTCCTCCGCTCGCCCGCAATCGCCGCCAGGCCCTGCGCGCCACGACAATCGGATTGCGCCCTGTCTAGCTTCGCCAGCTGAGTTTTAGAGCGGCTCGCCCGCAGCGCCGTCTGCATCTCTTCGCCCATTCGACGCCCCATCGTTTGTTGTCCTCCTCTGGCAAGCTGGCGGGTCGCAGGCTTCGTCTCATGGTCGCAGGCTTCGTCTCATCTCGATAATCGCGCACGGCCTCTCTTCTGAACCATGCGGTGGCGCGCGTGCATGTGCAACGTTGGACTGGCCCTTGTCCTCGGAAGCGGCGCGGATCATGCACTGGTTGAAAGCAGCGACCCTTCTGGCTGCATTCAGTTCTGACCACTTGACGTTTCTGCGGTGACTTTCTAAGGGAAGCGAGAATGACTGACCCAGCCCATGCTGCGTTTGGTTTCCTCATATTTGTCCTATTCGGCTTGTTGCTCGTCCGTGAGGCGAGCTGCAGAGGCGCCAGCCTGCAATCCGAGCCGACGTCGAAAGAAACAAAAACACCGTATTGTACTGCATGTGAAAAGATGCTCCGGTCTGGTAAGAAGTAGTCCAGCTGGGAACGGCAGTCTCCATTCCTGCATTCCTGCACGTCCACGCGTCTTCCCACGGAGATTGTTGAATAGAGTTCAGTACGGGCATGTCCCGAAGGTAAGACCACCGAACAAACATATCACCTCTCTCGCTACGCCTCAGCATCGGACACCGCCCCACGACGGCGCAATTACCCTGAAGCCCACGCGGCCCAATTTCAACAATAAAGTCGCCGGCAATTATAACAGGGCGCCTCTTGAGAGATGCTTGCCGGCGCTCTTTCTCTATTCTAGCGCATGCCGGTTCAACTTCCTGCTAATTTTGCTTCGAGTGGAGCATGAAAACAACGATAAATTGGATGAGACCGAACACCGGGACAGTCACGTCCAGAACAGCGAATCGATTGAAAAAAAAACCCGGCAAATCTGTGCGACCACCTGCCGTGGAGCAGAAAACGCACTCCGCAATTTCGGTCTGCGCCGCCACTCCCGTACCAGTGATGGCCGCGTGCCGTCTCCCACGCCTCTCTCGGGCACCCCCTCCAAATCTCGGCAAATAGGATGACGTCCCAACGTTCCTCTCCGACCTCTGCCCAACATATGTTTATTTAAAGAATGCGTGCTGTGGTCAATCACAACAATGTTGATGTCTGCTATGCTGCAGTAGACCTTGCGTTGGCCATGGCATGTTGGATTGCTTCGGCGGGTATATGATGACATCACGGCGGGGCACTCTATGCCCTAACCCTGTAGTGTTTCCACCACGGCGTCCTCAATCACTCTCGCCGCGACTGTGACCCCGATTTCTTTGAACATCCCTTCGTCGAAGTGCCCATGCCCCGCTTCTCCCTCCCCCCGTCACTCCCCGACCCTGACGCGCTTCATCACGGGCACGCCCTGGCGGCTGTCAACTCGCATGTCGCCCGCGATTGCCAACCCCACTTAGTTGATGACCTGTTTGTACTTCCCCAGGGTTTTGCCTTTCAACCTGTCCGCACAGCTCCTGCTGGCAAAAACCCACAAAGACCTGGAAGGTGCGTTTCGGTTTGCCGTTCGCGTTCTGGGGATACTCGTACATGTGCTTGGCGGTGTCGACGCGCACGAAACCAACACTCCCGAACGAGTACGCGTATATCTCGTCGACGCCGCCCGCGAAACACAGCATGTTCTGTTCGATGTGTTCCGTCCCGACCTGCTTGTCCGAATCCTCCAGGAAGCCTCCGATCACCGCCGTGCGAGACAATGTATATTTCTCCTCGGCCGTCCGCTGTTCGTCTTTCTTATTTGCGATGTTCAACAGCATCTTCATAGGTTTTCGATCAGATTCTCAACGTCCGTTTTCGTGAAGAACTGATTGCTCATGTCATGGATGTGGTCCTCGATGCCCGTCACTTTCTGCATGGTTCCGCCTGCCATCGCACTACGCCAAATGCGCTCCGAATTTCACCTGAACGAGTTCGGTTTTGACCTTTCGCACGTCCGCCGGGATGTTCTCCATATGCCGACCAACTGGTTGAGGATCCGCCCCTGATTGATTGCCCAGGCCGGCGGCTGCTCATCCTTGCCCTGCTTTTCCTCGACGCCGTTCTTCTCGACGTCGTGGTTTACCTCCTCCATCAAGGTTTCCTCACCTGTTTCTGACGCTTGGGTCTGGGAGGCGGGCTGGTGACCAATGCGCGCAGGGCCTCCATGAGACCGATCACGCTCTGGACACCCACGAAAACCGAAATTCGAGATGGCTAGACCCAAAACGGGTACTTGAGCCAAAACGAGCACTTGAGCCACGGTGGCTTGAGCCAAAACGGTACTTGAGCTACGAACCGTGTGATGGGGTGTGCCGAATTGGGCGCGGTGGTGCCACGCGAACCCTCCCATTGGAACCTTCGGTGTTGCTCCCTATGGGGCCACGAAACATTTGAGGAGTGTGCCGAAGTGGGCGCGGTGGTGCCACGCAAACTCTCCCATTGGAGCCTTCGGTCCCACTGGAGCCTTCGGTGGAGTTCCCTATGGGGCCACGAAACGTGTGAGAGGTGCGCCGAAGTGGGCGCGGCGGTGCCACGCGAACCCACCCATTGGAGCCTTCGGTGGAGCTCCCCTATGGGGCCACGGAACGCGCGAAGTGTGCACCGAAATGGTACACACGCGGAGGCAGAGGCACGGATGGGAGGAGGAAGGAGGGAGGAGGTGGGAGGAAAACGCAGGGCGCTGTCCTTTCAGAACGAAGACCCAACACTACAAGATGGTTGGGAAACACACACACACACACAACACACAAAAACGTCGTTATGTGTTCCAGACGCAAGGACATTTGGGGTCACGACGGGAGCCCTACACCCCGTGCTCACGTCGCATTTTTCGAGCTGGATTGATCCGCGAGCCCCTGGGCCCACAAGAAAGCAACATCGCAAGGGGCGAGCGACTTGCAACACCAAGACCTCAGGACGCCAGGTGCGAACAAATTGCAAGCGGAGCAAGGGGTTCGGTTTGAAATATGGACGCAAAACCCAAACCCCCGACGTCAGGATTTGCTCACAACGTCGACTCCCGAAGGTCTTAACCCGTTCACAGGGACAGGCCTGTGATCCTGAGTCGTCTTCTCACTCCAGGGCATGGGTAGGGCACGTCGCCACTTGCGAACTGGGCGCGGCCAGCGAAAGCGGCCAAGGATGGGCATAAGGGGGAGGATACAAGGGCAGTTTTGGAATGTCGCTCATTTTACGATGTGGGTTGACTGTGCCCCTCGGCCCGGCGAGGGCCCCCAGAAACCGACAATTGCAAAAAACAGTCCGTCGTGTATTTGTTCACGACGCGGGAGGGACTGCTAGAAAGCAACTCACAAAATCTGCTGGTCGTCCCCATGAAATCTCCCTCACATTGCGCCATTGGGCGCATGGGTCGCTATGGGACGCCATTTGAACGCTAGTTGGCGCTATTGGGCGCTATTTAAAGACTACTGAGCGCTATCGGGCGCTATTCGATGCGCTCCCAGTAGCTCCTCCAAGCTGGTGACCACCTGCGAAGCCAGCGGCAAATGAGAAACATGGTGGATGGAGAAAAGAGCAGGATAGAATATGGAGAAGAGTGGAAGATGGCCGGGAGGAGAAAGAGCAGGAGGAACACGGGGGGTAAGGAGGAAAAGGGATGGCAAAGAGCGGACCGATGGCCGGGCGGAGGGCGGACTCGACCCACGGCATCGGCGAAAGGACGGATACGTGGGCAACGAAAAGATATCGACCCCGGATGCCTCATTGTTGTGGTCGTGGCCGACGAGACGGGTCGCTACCGATGATGTTTTAAAGCCCGCCATCGTTCGCGACCGATTCGCTAACATCGGTCGCGATCGGTCGGCCGCGACAGATCGGTGGCGATCGGTTTGAGAGTGCCGATCAGAAGCTACCGATTGCGACCGATAAAGTCTGGCATCCCATGATCTAGGGGAAGAGTCGAAGGCAACATAGCAACGTCACATTGTACATCGCTGCCGTAAGTTGGATGTGTATGCGTTGTGGGATGCAAAAGAATGATGAAGATAAAGATGGGGATCCGCTTCCTCTCAGATAGCACCAGCAGGTATTCTGGTGGTCACATGGGGTGTGCACATCTTAAGTCCATGGCAACCAGTACTGACCTGGGAACCGCTCCATTGGGGACCTGAGTCGTTTTCTCAGAACGGCCCCCGGAAGCCAAACGCAGCAAACAAATGACCCGAGACGTACGCAGCCCAATTCCCCACGCGAAGCGAATATTTGCATGGACCTTCCATACAACAGAATACATCGCCAGATATGTACGATATGCGCTGCCATCATCTCCGCCGTGCCTCCCACGAGCCTACGGAAGTGGCGACGGTAGCGCACATCGTAGCCTCCCAAGGAGCCGCGAGGTCTCGACTGGATGCGCGTACTCCCCGACTCCGCCGTGCCTCCCAGGAGCCCACGAAAGTGGGGACAGTTGCGCAGTTTGCAGTCCCCCAGGGGGCAGCGAGGACCCGCCTGGGTGCGCGCACTCTGCTACTCCGCCGTGCCTCCCAGAAGCCAACGAAAGTGGCGACAATTGCGCAGTTCGCAGCTCCCCAAAGAGCAACGAGGTCTCGGCTGGGTACGTGTATTCCGCTGCTTCGCCGTGCCGCCCAGGAGCCCGCGAAAGTGGCGCCAAATTCGCAAATCGCAGCTTCCCAAGGAGCAGCGAGGTCTCGGTTGGTTCCGCGTGCTCCGCTACTCCGCCGTGCCTTCCAGGAGCCCACGAAAGTGGCGTCAGCTACGCAGTTCGCAACCCCCCAGGCAGAAGCGAGGTCTCGGCTGGGTCCGCGTACTCCGCTACCCCACCATGCCAGCCCACGAAAGTGGCAGCAGTTGAGCAGCTCGCAGACCCCAGGATGCAGCGAGGTCCTGCCTGTACTCCGCTACTCCGCCGTGCCTCGCGGGAGCCCACGAAAATGGCAACGGTTGCACTCTCGCAGCCTCCCAAAGAACAGCGAGTTCCCAGTTGGTTACGCGTGCTCCGCCACTCATCCGTGTCGCGCAGGAGCCCGCGAAAATGGCGCCAGTTGCGCAAGAAGCAGCCACCCCCAGGGAGCCGCGAGGTCCCCCCTGGGTCCGCGTACTCCACTACTCCGCCGTGCCTCCCACGAGCTCACGAAAGTGGCGACAATTGCGCAGCTCGAAGCCCCCCAAGCAAGAACTACATCTCGCCCGGGTCCGCGTATTCCGCTACTCCTCCGTGCCCCCAACAGCCCACGAACGTCGCGACAATTTCGTCATTCGCAATCCCCTAGAGGGAACTGCGAGGTCCCGCCTGGGTCCGCGTACTCCGCTACTCCGCCGTGCTTGCCAGGAGCCAGCGAAGATGTTCAACAATTGCGCCGTTCGGAGCCCAAACAAGGAGCAGCGAGGTCCCGCCTGGGCCTACGTACTCCGCTACCCCGCCGCGCCTCCCAGGAGCCCTCCCAACGTGGCGACACTTGCGCAGATCGCAGCTTCCCAGGAAGCAGCGAGGTTCCGCGTGTTCGGCTACTCCGCAGTGCCTCCCACGAGCCCACGAAACTGGCGACAATTGCGCACTTCGCAACCCCCCAGGGATCAGCGAGGTCCCGCCTGGGTCCGCGGACTCCGTTACGTCGCCGCGCCTCCCAGGAGCCCACGAAAATGGCGCCAGTGGCGCAGACCGCAGTCACCCAGGGAGCAGCGAGGTCCCGCCTGGGCCCGCGTACTCAGCTACTCCGCCGTGCCTCCCAGGAGCCCACGACAGTGGCGCCAGTTGCGCAGTTCGCAGCTACCCAAAGGGCAACGAGGTTTCGACTGGATACGTATATTCCGCTGTTTTGCTGTGCCGCCCAGGAGCCCACGAAAGTGGCGCCAGTTGCGCAGGTCGCAACTTCCCAGGGGGCAACGAAGTCTCGATTGGTTCCGCGTGCTCAGCTACTCCGCCGTGCCTTCCAGGAGCCCACGAAAGTGGCGCCCGTTGCGCAGCTCGCAGCCCGCAGGCAGAAGCGAGATCTCGACTGGGCCCGCGCGCTCCGCCCTCTGCCATGCCTGCCCACGAAAATGGCGCCAGTTGCGCAGCTCGCAACTTCCATGGGAGCAGCGCGGTATCGGTTGCTTCCGCGTCCTCCGCCACTCCGCCGTGCCCCCCGGGAACCCACAAAAGTGGCGCCAGTTGCGCAGTTCGAAGCCACCCAGGGAGCAGCACAGGAGCAACGCAGGAGCAGCGCAGGAGGCATGAGGAGGGGGAGGAGAGGGGAGGAGGTGAGGTCCTCAGCGCTTCATTCAAAACGAAAGCCCAACACAGGAGGCTTGGGGAAAAAGAATCACACAACAGAAACGTCAGTAGATGTTCCAGACGAAAGGAAATCTGGGGTCACGACGGGAGCCCTACACCCCGTGCTTCCGTGGCATGTTTCGAATTGGATCGATCCGCGAGTCCCCGGGTCCACAATAGAGCAACATCGCCAGGTGTGAACGAACTGCAACGCCAGGACCTCAGGACGCTAGGTGCGAAACAACTGCATACGCAGCAGGGGGCTCGGTCTGACATATGGACGCAGGTCCCAGACCCCCGACGTCGACTCTCAGAGGTCTTGACCCGTTCACCAGGACGGGCTTTCCATCCTGAGTCATTTTTCTCCAGTCAACCCGAGTAAGAAGGACGCACGATACGATAAGGACGCAAGGGCATTGGAAGACCATGTCGGCACTTGCGAGCTGGGCG